GTCTAGCGGAGGAGGAAACAAAGTGAAATGGTGCGAAAAGTACAAAAAGAATCACTTTGGGAAATGTAGCGAAGAAGTGACTTGCTACAAGTGTGGGAAGACCGGACATTACGCCAACGAGTGCAAAAGGGTGTGTTATGAATACCGTGAAGAAGGGCATGTTGCTAAGGATTGCCCGAAAAAGAAAGAGGCGGAAAAACCAAACATTCCGCCAAAACTGAAGGCAAGAGCATTCCATATGATCCTAGACGAAGCAGATGACAATGCGAGGATTCAGGAATGACGGCTTGACATCCAAGGATCGAGTTATAATGTAGCCATAGAATCATATGATGTAGCCTGTTAGAGGCATAGTCTAGGGTGAACTTGAACACCTATGTAATCGTTTCAAGAAATAATATGAAACCTTTGTTTTGTTATCTGATGTGTTAAGTTGTTTTTTTTCTTGTATGGTGACTTGGAGAGACTGCGGGACAATACTTGGGACGAGTATGAGTAGGTGTGAATGGTAGTAGAGGCCTATACTACCGGAAGCACAGGACTCACACTTGGATCAGGGAAAGTCACAAGGTTACCAAGAAGCCAATAATTGATTTCGTTTTATTCAAGTATATCGTTACCATCGTTTCGGTAATGACTAAAAAGATTGTTGATATTCCGACCTCAGTGGTCATATCAAATTGAGTCCGACTACGATGAGTATGTTACGTGATTCAGAGAACCAAGTTTGATGAAGTGTCTGACTTAAACTAAACGATTGAAATCAAAGCGATCAATAGAAGTATCGCGCTCGTTGTTAAAGAGGTTGGTAGCTAGAAATGCTACATGTTAAAGTATGATTATGTCACATTAGAACATGAAGGAAGGAATAATATATTTTAGAATTGAACTCTAAGAGACCTGAGTCTAAACGTGAAACACATGATGATACGTCGTAATCTGGAGTCTAACCTAAAGAAGATAGCAGGTGCACAATCAAGTACTGCTTACAGTCAATAAGTCTCAGAGATAGACTCGAAGGAATAAAGAAGTTATAATTATTACCTAGGATGAAGAAATGACGTATGGAGTCATTATATGAGCCCTATTTCGTTGATGATTCTGGGACGTAATCATCCTAAGGGGGAGATAATTGTAACGCCCGCAGATCCGGGCTAGTCAATTTAGAGGAAATAGGGGTCGAAAATGACTTTTCGACAAAATATTATTTAGAATAAATAATCTTAACCAAGTTGTAGAATATGTCTCAAGGTTTCCGTACATATAAAGAACGCCGAAATCCGAGCTATAACGAAGAAGTTATGGCCCGCCGAAGTTTTACGGCAAAACCGGCACGGCACCGGAAGACGTAAATAGTGAATTTACGATAGAAGACTTTTTAGCCTTATCAATCTAAACAAAAGTCGTAGAATATGTTAAACTAAGAGCGTTGATAAAAAGAACGCCCAAATCTGACTTCGTATGAGGAAGTTATGATTTTTCTAAGATTCGGCTTAGCAGTGTACAGCCCGAAACTCGAATTTTAGTTCGAGCGGTTTTTGGCTTACGTGAAATAAATGAGAGTTGAAGATCTCATTAATAGGAACTCAACGGTAAAAAGACAGACGAAAACGGAGTCCGTATGAAGGAGTTACGAATTCTTCGCGGTCATTTAACAGTCTAAACGCCTCGTACTGTTAAATTTAAGATCGGTCGAGAATTAGCCGACGGAGTCAAAATGAAAGTTGTAGATATTATTTTTACCTACGCGTGGATATAAAGAACGTCAAAAACGGAGGTCGTATGTGAAAGTTACGGATTTTAGAAGTCGGAAGTGTGTTGTGCGAAAATGGGTGATGTGGCACAATCTTGGCCATTGCTTTCTCCCCAAGTCTTGCCACTAGATGGTGACATGTGGCACCAAGTTCAGCCATTTTCACCCTATAAATACCACCTCTCCACCCTCATTTTCTTCACACCTTTCCCATTCTTTCTTCTCTTTACTCTCTCTCTAGAACCTCTCTCTAGCCCCGAAATCCCCCGAAAAGCCTAGGGAACCTCCCTAGCACGAGGCGGAAGCCCCGGAGTGCTCGACGGCTCCGAGAAGAAGAGCTTTTCGGCTCGGAAACGCTGCTCCAAGCAAAGCCTGGTTTTCTATAAAACCCGCTGTAAGTGAGCTACGCCTACGCTATTTTTAATATAGTTTTTATTTAATTATATTAACGTTATTAAGAACATATAATAAATACTTGGGCTATTATTATGGGTTATATAAGTATTTTTTTTAACGCTTATATAATAGTAATAATAGCTAGACTATTAATTAGTCTCGGCGAATAATAGACTAAAATCTATTGGTGATAATACTAGGTTTCGTCGAAAGAAATTATTTTAAAGTAAACGAAGCGCTGTCCGAGTACCGAGTCACCACCTTCTCAGGTGAGTGCATAGTCCCTTTCAGCTTACACATAGATATGAAGTATTTTATATAAATTACATGATGTGTGTGTATATTATCTGTATACTTGCTATCTATGCTGGATGAACGTTTTATACATGTTTTCAATGATTTAAACTGTATATGTATTTTATATCTACAAAATGTGTTGGGTAAAACATGGGTAGATGTATTAGTTGCTGTGTGATAAAATGAAATAATGAGATGCCTCGTTATAGATGTTCTTGATGATCTAGTCATCTAGCGGAGTATAGATGACGACCACGGACTATTCTAGACAGTCCAGTGGAACACTAGCAGGCTCGCAACCTGTAGGTGTTTATTCGAACTGTGTGTTTAACCGAACTGTGTGTTTGTTCGAACTGTGTGTTTATTCGAACTGTGTGAACTGTGTGCTCACCAGATATACTCCATCCCAATGATAGTCCTTTGACTAGGTCCCTTGTGTTAGATGTTTTAGGGACGTAATGTGAGGATAACGGGAATGGGTAATTGGGTTGATTGTTTGATGTTTAAAAAATAATAATTATACTATTGTGGGTTGAAAACCCTATGTACTCACCAGGTTTCCCAACCTGACCCACTCAGTTTATTTATACCACAGGTGTTGATACGAAGTCACTTTACACTGAGAGATTTAAAGAGATGTAGATCACTAGTGTAAATAAATGTAAGTTCTGTTTATGCTTATGTTTCTGTATTAACGATGACATCCCAAACATTTTGAAATGAATAAAATACGTTTCTTCGAAAATGTTTTAATAACGTATTTATCATGTATTTCTGGGAACAAATTCCGCAACCTTTTTTATAAAATGAAGTACTCTGATTTTTACAAAGCATAAACAAAATCGGTCTTTTCTGGCCGTGATTTTGGGGATATCACATTTACACCCTGTTGATATAGTGAGGATAACTCACCTTGAAATGCCGATCTAACTGAAGAAGCAGATTCTCGAACCACCGTCTCACCGACAATCCCAAACTATCTAGAATAGCAAAATAATGAGTCAGCACACAGGAGTCTAAATCTTGACCAACAATCACTAATACAATAAAAGCCAATTTGCGTTCCTCTAATTGGGGCCAAGGCCCAAAACAAAACCCATGATCCAATTCCATATAACAAGGCCTAACTTTCTAAACTAGGCCCAATTATCTAATTAGGCCTACATCCAAGATCCAACATCAAGACATGGTCCAAGACACCTTACCCATAATGTCCAGCAAAGGTCCAAGCCTAACTAGTCCATAGACGGCCCACCCTTCAAAGCCCGAATATCATAAGCCCAATAGAGGGTGTACGCTCGGCGTACCCCTCTGGCCTCTGGTACGTGGGGCGTACTTCGACTTATGTTGACCTGAAAGCGGGTCATTGACCTGGTACGCGGGGTGCATTTCTACCTACACTGAGCGTACGCGAGCAGAAAAAAATTCTCATAACTGCTTAATGGCTGAATCACTTAAGCCCAAACTTTAGATCCATCGACCAAAAGTTCCTAGGACTCATAAAGTCTCGAACTTTATCACTTTGGACGTCCAGAAAGTCTCGAACTTTAAGCACTTAAGCCCAAACTTCGTGTCTCACAAGGAATTAAACGTGTAAATTTAAACTAACGAGGGATTGCATGTGCAATTTTTAGTCAAACGATTGACGATCCGAATTAATTTTTAAAAATAAGGACTGAACGTTTTTTAGACATCTGTCCGAGAGACAATTGGTGTAATTTACTCTTGTTCTTAAGATTAGTTAATGACTTTCAAACGTAGAGGGATGAAGAGTTTTTGGACTGTTTAGTGGATTCTAATTCCTCTATAGATATTTATAGATTTTCAAAGACTGTATCAAACGTGTTAAATTCAGAGTTTATTCAACATGGAGTCCATTCAATAATTCCTATGACCCAGAACCTCCTCCATATACCTTAAGGCTTAAGGATACATTGTTTTAGATATTCAATTATTCAAACCAAAATCCTAATAATTCTAAAATTCGTTCTTCCTTTATGATTTTCCCGACCAAATACAAATAATAAAGGAGCCTCCCCATCCCTCAAGTCGATGGATTCGTCCTCCTGTTCTATACATGAAAACGACAAGATATAAAACAAAAAAGAAAAGATATTTTTAACATACCATAAAACAAAATTTAAAAAATATTAAATGATACCAATTTCTCAAATATATTATTATAATAATCACTAAATAACTATAAATATAAATAAACTTTTGTTAAAAGTATTATAGTAATGTATAATACCTCGTATAACGTGGCACATAGAGTATTTACTATGTACGTGGCACCCCACCACTACCCCACCTCACATCATACCCCGTTTCCAAAACGGCTCCAATCCTTGTCGTTTTACGTCGACCCTAAGAAACTAATAAAAGAAAATAATTCCAAAAAACAAAATTCATTTTTCGTTTTCCTTTAAATAGATAGCTCGATTGAAGTTAGGTTTGCCAATTTAGAAAGCGAAAACCAGTCTTTAAAAATTCTCTCAAATCTTCTCTCTTCCTTATCTTCTCAAAAACCCCAAATTTCTCTAACTGTAAATCAATGGCGAATCCGACCAGAAGACCCGTACTCCGAGCTCAGTCTCCTTCCGGAAGATTCTACACCTCGCCGTCGTCAAACTCGTTTGCTTCCTCCACCTCCGCCTTCTCGTCGAGCCCGTCATCGTTCTTTCAGAACCGATCTGCGTCACCTACACGTGTCAACGTATACGGATCATCTCCATCGGCGTCGAATATACGATTTTCTCTCGACAATCGTCAAATTTCTCCGAGTCGTTCGATCTCTGTAATTCCGAGGAGTAATAATAGTAATCAAGCGTCGAAGAAGCAGTTGGATAAACCGAGGAGGATGTGTATGTGTTCGCCTACTTCGCATCCAGGTTCGTTTAGGTGCAGCTTGCATAAGAACTCTAACAGCAATCACACTCCGGTGTCGTATCCTTCGAATCGACTCAACGCGAGGAGGTCGGCAATGACAAACTCGTTGGTACGGATTGGCACTGTGGAAGGCGGTGATTTGGTCAGGAGAGCTCTTGCGGCGTTGATTCGACCGTCGTCTCATCAGCAGCGACGGAGAACTTGTTTTCAACCGACGCTTAGTCGTTTATCTTCCATGACTAAAGTCTAAAGCTTGATGATTTATGATTTTTTGAATCTCGTTTGAGCTCTCTGGAGCTAATCATGGTGGTGGTGAATCAGATCCCGGCGAGTCGGTGGCGGTTGAAGAAGTCGGGACGGACGGTTTTTTTAAATTCCGGTTACCGAAAGAAATCCTGAACTGGATAATAGATTCCTCTTGTGTCTGTATATACTTATAGATGAGAATATATGAATATCATCGGTTGCTGCCATTAATGGCTAACGAAGCAGCTTCAAGTCTCTAAAACAAAATCCATTCACTTAAAATTTCACAAAAGTAACTAACTCCACCACATCTGTTACCGAATTTCAATTCATTTCTCGTATCCATATTCATCATCCTTCCATTAACTTCATCTCAATTCAATTCAATTATCTCTCCCATTCCATCTAAGCTTAACGTTTTCCGTTAACTGCGTTCGGTTTCCGTTTCTAAGCTCCGTCATTTCCACTTCGTGTTCAGCGTATTCGTTCCGTTGTCGTCATGTTGAGCGTTATTTATTTATTTATTTTTTAATTAATTTCTATCTGATTGTTCTTTTGTTTTCTTCTTCAACAGGTTATAATTTCAGATCATCACGTTCACTCATTCATGATTTGGAGCTTATTTTCGTATACATCTTGAAGACTAATCGATGATAAATTGGACACAATTACCAAAACGAAAGTTACTGTGTTTATGGATCTTGACTTTTAGTCAAGAAATTTGGAGAATCGTGCCGTGATATGACTTTCATCATCGACTGTAAATTCAAGTGACCGCCATTGACTATCTTGGCTGTGCAAAATTTTGGTGGATTTGATCATCGGCCGTTGGATTTGCAGAATACAACCAAAAAAATAATAACTTCACATATAATTATTCGAAACAAAGACCAAACAAAAATATAAATATTCATATAACATTATAAAAAGATGAGTGGGACCATTGAAAACAAAAACTAAACAAAAGATAAATATTTTTATAAGATACTTGTGATAAAGTGTATAATAAAATATTAAACCATAAGGAGGAGAGTTCGATAGTGAAGTCATTAGTAGGATAAAGACCTCTTCTTGGAGACGCCTTCTTCCACTTGCACATCAATTTTAAAAAAAAAAAAAAAAAATTAAAAGAAAATGTAAACAGTATTATGAAATATTAACGATTATTAGATGTATCAAGATATGAACTTTGGTTATTTAGGGAGATGGTTTTGGTAGCTTCATGTTTAACCTAACATGGAGGGAAAAGTAGCAAAGATGCCATGAATGTGAGAATTGAGATCATATACCTTATCTGCAACGTAGGAGTGTGGCCTACAGATAAGATAAATGAACCCAACTCTTCCATGATGCAAAAGGTTAGATAGTCATGGAGTTGACATGATTTTAAAAATCCGATAATCATATATTATTATTATTATTATTATAGGATGCGCAATCCATAATTTACTAGAATGGTTCAATGAGATATTTAATCAATTAAATTCATGTATAGCGAGACATGAAATTTAGTGGCCGTTGAATTTTCTAACATGTTCTTTTAATATATATATATATATATATATATATATATATATATATATATATATATATATATATATATTGGGTTTTTCTTGAGTTTAGTGTATTATAAAAAAAATATATAAAAATTAAAATAATGATAGGATAATCTATTGGACTTTATAATGTTTCATATTTACGAAAAAAATCTAAGTGTTTAATTATCTAACCACCTTTACTTTAAACAAAAAAATGGTTAAAGCTTAACCTGGTGGAGAAGTAATGATGGAGAAAAGATATTACAAGGATTAACAATAAAAATATCATATCCATAATTGGGGGTTGCAAAAAGAGAACTACTGATCTAACCCACTTAATTAAAGGTTAATTATTTATAGGGGTTGGCTAATAAGACATCCTATTTTATCATTTAGACAACCCTAATTAATGTTTGAAATATTTTTATTGGTTGAAATTGCATTGTTTTCCGAAAAAGATGATTACAAGAAGTTGATTATAGGTTGATTTTTTATAAAAATGATTATAGGGTGTCTAAGGGGTGTTTTATTAGCATCACCCTTATTTATAAGGTAATAAGCTGTTTATAGCGTGTATATATTTAGTGAATGAAGTTATTTTAGATATATGGCCATTATATTCTTTTTCTTTTTCTAAAATATTTGGATGTTTATGTTTTTTTTTTTTGTACATATATGATATTAATGGTTATATGTAATAAAAAAATAAAATTATCATAACGTGTGTATAAAAAACAAGTTTAATGTTTATGTGTGTGAAAAACATAAATAAACAAAATATATAAAAAAACATAAGCAATTTAATATATATTTTTATAAAATTTATTATTTTTATAAGTCATTAACCCAAAGTTGTTGGATTAAATTGAGATTTTTAACATGGGTTTATATGCTTAATCATTAAAATAAAAATATAAAATGCTAATATTTTTCCAATATTTTATACACATATAAAGGTTTTATCACAAGTAATCACTAATTTTAGATAAAATTGTAAGAATGGTCATTGTGGTATGTCCAAAAATATTACTTTGGGTCAAACATGTTTGGACTGGTATCAATTGTCTATAAGTTTTTATTTTGCTGCGGCTTTGATCCAAAAACAGTTTAAAAAATCTAAAAATAACGGATTTTTCTATTTCCATTTGTTTTTTGCTTTTCTTTTTGTTATTTAATTGTTTTCTAACTAAAAAAATATAAAAATTAAAAGTCTCTCTCTCTCTCATGTGAAGAAACAAGCAACATTCATTGTTAACGTAAATGTTTTCCCAAACGAGCAAAAACACAACAAGATTCGAGCACCACAAATCCAGATTAAATAAAAATTACACATATTTAAGGCCCTTTTTTTAAACATCTTATGCACAAACAAATTGTTAACATCAAAGATTCGAAACATTTCAAGCATAACCACAATCTAAAAAAAATCAGAAGATATGATCTCAAACATGTTCAGAGATCGTGAATTCAGATTCTAAGATTTAAAAACAAAATTTGATGGAAAAATAAAAACCAGATGGGATATTCCTCCACCTCTCAGTTTCATCTGTCATCTTCACCACCAAGAAACCTCTTTATCTAAATTCAGAAAAAAAAAAAAAAAAAAAAAAAAAAAAAAAAAAAAAAAAAAAACCACAATCTTTGTTATTTGTCCTCCCAATCAGAAACCATTTTCCTCAACTCATCCATATTCATCGATAGCTTTGATTTTGAGAACAAATTGATTGTTTCCAAATCCTTTCCAAATTGACTGTTTCCAAATCCTTTCCAAATCAATTATTTCCAGACCATTTCCAAACATAGGTATAACGATTGTTTCATGATCTAGGTTTTAAATTTGTTTATCAAGAAAAAACAAACACGACCAGACCTATCAAAAAAAATTATACCTCACTGGTGAAGAATCCGTATTTGAAATCAACAACCTAAAAACCCAAAAAACCCGGAACGACCCAGATGTTGAAATTTCATGGGTAAACTTATTCAAGAAGATTCCACTACCCAGAAGAATGGAAAAGAATTAAGTCAAATTTCCTGGTCACCCCCCCCCCCCCTTTTTTTTTACGAAAAAATGCAACCCTACAGACGAAAAATGTAACACCGTAAATTTTAAAACCAAAATTTTCAATTACAAACACAATTATCTCATTTCAAAAATCACAGAAATCCCACAAGTATCAAATCATCAAAACACATGTCCAAAAACTATATATATATATATATATATATATATATATATATATATATATATATATATATATATATATATCATAAATCCAGGATCCTCCGAAAACATAACTCTAACTCGGGTGTATGTACAATCAAGCATGTGCCTTCCCGTGATCCTGAGAAGTACCTGGAACACATAACACAAAACACGGTAAGCATGAAGTTTAGTGAGTTCCCCAAAATACCACACACACAAGTCATTAGCCACTCGAGGCTATAACTCAATAAGACCCTTTGGTCAATGTGTCTTAGTGGGACCCTATGGTCCGACAACTCGGGTGGACCCTCCAGTCCTAACTCAGTAAGCTCAGAATAATACACAACATAAATCTCAAATACATAATGCAGGATATCACAATACTCAATATAAACACATAAGAACATTCGGTTACACAACTCATATTACCACTCTAGGTATGTATAGTGAGAAGAGTCACCTTGTAAGAACTCGAATAACCTCAAATTCGAATCACCAGTCTAGCCTCCGCCTAACACATACGATAATTATCCTGAATTAATAACGACTCTCAATGAAGCTAGACTAACCCTTCTACAACTCACAGAAGGGTAAAAGATCATTTTACCCCTCCATGGCCTTAATAGTCCACAAATTGACCAAACCCTAAAAGTCAACCAAAAGTCAATGATAGTGCGTACGCTGGACGTACCAGCTCTATGTCGGGCGTACTTTGTTGCCATGCAGGCATCGACGAATGCTCGACCCCTACGCTACACGTACTGGGATTACGCTCAGCATACGTCCCAGTTTCACTCTTTTTACTCATCTGGTCTTAATCGGTTAAGACCTTGGCTCATATCACATATCTGGATTCCCTAAAGGCTCTTACTCCATAAAGTCAGTGACTTTAAGCCTTTGCATGGCTGATAAGGTCACAAACACTCAAAACTCTCACTCTCTTATCTCAAAATGCTCATATCACATGCATGGTTTGATTTCAACATCCAAGTCTTGATTTTTATGACACTACACCAGTAAAGACACTCAAAGGAGCTGATCATAGTCTTTGGAGCTCAATATCTCATAAAGTCTCCAACTCTTAGGACAAAACCCTAAAATGCTCTAATATGATGCACGAATGAAAAGAGTGAGAAAGCTTGGAGCTTTATACCTCTAGATGAAGCTCCAGATATGCTCAGATCCAAGGCCTGGACTCTCACTTCTTCTTCTCCAAAACTCCTTCTTCACTCCAAGAACACACAAAATCACTTAAAGGCTCTCAAATGGACTCACAAGCTTTATGAACTAAGGTTTAGGGTTTTAAAGGGTTGTTTGTCTGGGGATGGTGGCTAGGAATGAGGCCATCATATCCTTTATATAGGAACACACCCCAAATTAAGGTTATCACTCTAGGCCTAGTACGCCCAGTGTACTAGGTGGCTTCCGCATCAATAACACGCACATGAGTACGCTGAGCGTACACTCGCGTATGCCTCGCGTACTCATTTTCCTCCTTTTTCATATAAGCGCTAAACTTAACAAGTACCAAAAGAACAATGTTTTATAAGGTATACCTGGACTTGGGATGTTACAAAAAAATGGCAAGATGGTCTTGCGATTTTAGATACCTTTTTATCCTCGTTATAATCTTCATATTCGCAGCATTCAAGAGTTATTTGGTTGGAGATTGGTTTCAAGGTCGGTGTGATGGGTTTCAGTTTTGGGTTTAAACGGTTTGGAAGAAATTTTGGGGGTTCATGAATGGTTTCTGGAAAATCAAGAAGAAAAGATTAGGGTTCGTGAATAATTTTTGGGTTTGTGTATTTATCACTAAAGAAAAAAACACAATTGTTTGTGTATTAAGAGAGAGAGAGAGAGAGAGAGAGAGAGAGAGAGAGAGAGAGAGATTTTATTTTTTTATATTTTTT